TTATGCAAGCAATGAAATTATGCTAGTTGATGTGATGTATTGAATCCAGAAGTAAGATTTTTTCATAAAAATAAACAAAACATAAAACTGAATTCCTATAAATGTGAATTAGAATCTGTGATAGAACCAGTAGTGAATTATGTATGCTCCTGACCTCATTTTCAAATCAGCAAAAAATGCAAATAGGTAAAACAGAAAGAAATTGTGCTCTTAGAGGTAAATGTGATACCCAAGTAGCAAGCAAAAGTAAAATTGATCCAAAAAGGAAAGACCTGTATTCTAAATTTTTTCCTGTCAATCATAACATCTCGCTTTTAATTAACAGACCCCAAAAAGCTAAATCACACTCCTGTATCAACCATGGGTTCTTCTCAGCCTGTGTCACGACCGTTGCAACCCATACAACCAGCACCGCCTCTTCAACCATCTGGGGTACCAACAAGTGGACCATCTCAGACAACCATACACTTATTACCTACAGGTAAATTTGCTGAATGATTGAGCAGAAGCTTTAGTTTTGCTTAACTATGACTATGGAATTGAGTGGAAAGATAAGACAGAAAATTAAGAATCATTCTCATTGTTAATTTGAAGACAATGTATGTGTTTTTGAACGCAGTATAACTTACTGTTGCTTACTGTCTTAAGTAGTAGCACTGGTAGAGAATGGTTATAAAGAAGACAACCTGTATATATGTTTTTGTCATCTGCCAGCAGATGTCCTGTAAACAGCAGAAATGAATGTAGCTTCTCTAGAAAGGATGAATATCATGATTTGTTCAGAGTATAACCAAGAGGTTATAATTGATCAAATAGAAATTTTAAGTGAATCTTATCTTGAAGTAGTTTTAACTGGCCTAACACTAGTGTCAGGAAGTATGTGCTAATATTTTGCTTGCTACCTTTCAAGAAGCTGTAAATCAGACGTTTTCAAGGTATAACCTACATCTCCTAAACTGTTTAGAAGCCAATCAAGACAATTTGTCTTCTGCAAAACAGTCTATTGCTTGGGATTTATCTGCAAAATACCTATATAAGCACTCTTCTCATTAAGGAAAATACTGAGTAAAATGGGATTTTATCCAGTGAAATTTATACTTAAATTACCAGAGTAACTTACAGGAATAAGGATATTTTCTATAGTGATTTAACAGACCATTTGTTAATCTTTGAATTATGAAATTATTGTTGATACCCTAAGTGCCTGATAGTTATGGTAATTACTGTTTAGATTTGGATTTCAGAATTCTAGATGCTTATCCAGAATTTCCTACCAAGTTAAACTACGTTTTACCTTGTTGGCATTGCCAGGCAAAAGAATGTGCTTATATAACTTTATTAAGTTAGAATATGTAAAGACTGAGGAGTCTTTCTTTAGTAAAGGAACTGTTTTATCTTTGTTATATCTAGTATTTTTCTCCAAATTTATTTTATTATAAAACTTATTTTTTTCCATATGAAAGTAGATTTATTATTGTTTCATTGCATAATTATTATACTATGTGGTTATTTGTAAAATGTGATTCCAGTTCAGAGAGTTGTTATTAATACAGTGTTAACTCTTAAAAAATCTTCATTATTGTAGTTCCATCCTGTCAGTGAATGTTTAGGACTCATTTTTTGATAAGTATCAAATTAACATTACTCAAGGTATTAATGCTCTTTGGAACATACATTAGGAAGAATGCTAGAGTGGAGGAGGGGAAAGTCTGTATTTTAATGGATATTTTACTGTTATAAATAAAAGATAGGTTACTTCACCTGAACAAAACGTGAATTATAATAGCCAGGCAGTTTCTTGAACTGTGGGAATACAAAGATACTCTTTTGGATTCTTACTCCCTTGGCAGAAGCCCTGGAGGGCTTATAATTCCACTCTGCTAAGAACAATGTAAAATTGAGGAAGGATAAATTGCTGTAAGTCACTCCTGTGGTATCATACTCTCACCTGCAAACCGCCCTCCCTTTTTTTTTTTTAACCTTCACATGCTTATTATCTAGTCAAACTAAAGAATGGGAAGGGGATTGAAAGTGTTAAGTTGTTCTCTTTTTCTGAGTCTTGGATTTTAATATTATTAATTTTAGTTAGCTCTATCATTTTTATCCTGTAAGATTATAAAAGGAGACTGTTTATTTCTCTCATTGTTATAGTTAATTAGATTCTATGCAGAGTAATTACCATTTAATACAGTTTGCTTGACATAGAATTTACTGCACTGTTAATCTCTTTTTCTGCCTTCCATTAGCCCCAACTACCGTGAATGTAACACATCGTCCAGTAACTCAGGTGACCACAAGACTCCCTGTACCAAGAGCTCCTGCAAACCACCAAGTGGTTTATACAACTCTCCCAGCACCACCAGCTCAGGCTCCCTTGCGAGGAACTGTTATGCAGGCTCCGGCTGTTCGGCAGGTCAATCCCCAAAATAGTAAGAGACTTTTCGTATATATTGCCCCAAGATAAATGTAGCTCTCTCCAGCGTTTAGTTGGAGTGGCTTATATTGACATTAGATTTTGCAAAAAGTTCTTATATTTATTAAAACTATTATAAGTTTGAGATTTATTATACAACATATTGACTGTGGTATAGTTAATAACAATATATTATATACTTGAAAATAGCCGATAGAGCAGATTTTAAGTGTCGTCACCACAAAAAAAATGATAAGTGAGGCAATACATATGCTAATTAGCTTGATTTAACCATTCTGCAATGTATGCATATTTCAAAACATAATGTATACCATAAATATATATAATTAATATTTATAATTTAAAAAAACAATAATAATTTAAAAAAGAAATGACAAGAGAACCAAAAAACCTCTATTATTAGTTCAGTTTTCTTCTTTTAGGAGAGTTAACCAGAGAAAATTGGACATGTGCACTACTTGATTTGTGCTATATGTGTTATCTTTAATTTAATTATTTATGGTCAATACTGTTACAGTACCCTATTTGATGTTGGTTTATTCTCCACTCTATTAAGAGGCACCCTACCTAATTTAAGAGGGAATCATCAATTGTGACTTAGCCTAGTGACAGAAATCATGGTAGAGGTAGCCTCTCGTGAGTCTTAAAGATATGGAAGGTGGCTGAGAAATAAGGGAAAGTGTTGAAGGGAACTTGTGGTTTCCTCTCTCTCTCTCTATATATAATATGTTAGTTACATATGTATGTATGCAACTAATATATAATTATATATTAACATATACTATATATTAGCAGTAGTAGACTATATTATATAAACACAAGTTTATATAAAAAGCATGCTTAAAGTTTAAAGAAAAATAATAAAATGAACCATCTTGAACTCTTCATCGGGTTAAGAACTAGAACTCTATCAGTATCCTACAAGCCCTCCTGCAGGCCCTTCCTTAATTGCCTTCCTCCCCCTTTCCATTAGAGGTAATCACCATCCTTTTCTGTCAGTCATTCTGCTTTTCTTTATGATTTTGCCACCAATATAGGGATCACTAACATATATATATATTACTCAGTTTTGCAGAATTTAATAGCAAGAATAAATCTAGCTGTTTAAAGAAATTGTGCCATTATTAGATGATAGCTTCCGGAAGAAAATAAACTAAGTAGAGTCTCTAGATTATAGTCTGGCTTCAATTTTCTTAAGTTTACCAAGTTCCTTGTCTGAGAAAATTAGTTGGTAGGGTCAGGAATGAGTTCTGGGAAACTAGGCTCACCACTGTCAGGGCACCTGGCAGAACTATCGCATGGGCCAGGTAGTGAATATATGGCAAGAATATGGTCAAGGCAGTAGGGGACTCTAAATTTTCTGCTTCTTTTGCCCTGGTGTATGTCACAGCAGTTTTCTGTGGGGTGAGATGAGTATCCTTAGCTGATCAGCTGGGCATGGAGAGAAAGAAAGGAACCTCATTAACACAAATCAAGGATTATTTACTTGAGCTTTCTGTCCTGCTTAAAAAGATGAGACAGCAGGGATCCTTATGAAGATACTGTTCATGTGTCTAACCTCTGAATAACTGTTTCATTTTGACCTATCTGCCTTCTCTGCATGTGGTGCACAATCAGTTAGTATTGTAGGATTTTTTTTTTTTATTCATAGCCTTCCTGGTGGGGATCCATTTATTTCTCCCCATGCTGGACCTCCTATTTCTTGTACGTTATGTTTTCCTCTTTCTTTATTTTCTCTCTCATAATGGTGGCACACATCCTCCAGTGACTACTTGAGAAAGGGTTCATGGAAGTTAGATTTCTTTTGAGTGCTTGCATACATAAAAATTTCTTTATCCTCATGTTTAAATGATAGTTTGGCTGAATATATATAGACTTCTAGGTTGGGAATATTTTTCCTTTCCTATTTTGAAAACATTGCTTCACTGACTTCAAGTATTTAATCAGTGTTCCACCAAATTAACAATAGAATTCTGATTTTATTCCTTAATTTTCCTTTGTAGGTGTTACAGTTCGAGTGCCTCAAACAACTACGTATGTTGTAAACAATGGACTAACCTTGGGATCAACAGGACCTCAGCTCACAGTGCATCACCGACCACCACAAGTGCATACTGTAAATGTGCATGCTTGGCTTTACAAAATTCTCAATTGTAAAGCTATCAACTAATATTGTAGTTAACATTTTTCTTTAACGTAGTTATATCAAAGGGAAGTGATAGGTCTTTCTCATTTCCAGCAGAACTTTAAGAAAATTGATCTTACCGTTATGAACAAATGTTGCTAGGGATGAGGATCATTAAGAATCATTGAGTTTGCTTGTGGTGTACATTGTACAAAAGCAGGTCCACACCTGGGACATGTGAAGTGAAATAAACTATTTCCAACTCATGGTTAAATTAAGAAGGGGGCTGGGCACAATAGCTCATGCCTATAATCCTAGCACTTTGGGAGGACAAGGCGGGGGGATCCCTTCAAGCCAGAAGTTGGAGACCAGCCTGAACAGTGTAGTGAGACCCCATCTGTACAAATAATACAAATATTAGCTGGGCATGGTGGGCATACACCTGTCATCCCAGCTGGTTAGGAGGCTGAGGGAGGAGGATTGCTTGAGCCTAGGAATTTGAGATTGCAGTGAGCCATGATGACACCACTGCACTCTACCTGGGGCAACAGAGCAAGACTCTGTCTCAAAATAAATACATAAATACATTAATTAAATTAAGATGGGTATTTTTGATTTTTTTTTTGTTCTAACTTTATTTTTTTCCTCCAAACCTGTACCACTTCTAGCTGCTATGTTGTCATCAATTTATTGTTTTAAGTAATCCAATGGTATTGGGAAATCATTTATTAAGAGATAATAGAGAAAAACAAAGATTTCTCTTTAGATTTAGCCTCCAAAGTAATGTCGCATTATCCTGTGACAGGATTATGACAGTATTTGGTATGAAATATCATGTGAATGGAAATGCTGGCTTTATGAGAGAAGTGAGGGGGAGATTGTAAAGCTATCGCATATTATTGTGGTTAGCATTTTTCTTTAAAGAAGTTATATCAAAATAGTTATATCAGCTTTATAGCTGATATTACTTTTTACCTAGCAAACATCCTTTTTTTAAAAATGCTTGTAATAATTTATTGAGTGCTTCCCACTTACCAAGCACTGTTAATATACTTGGTCCTCATGCAGGAGTCCTTTAGGAGGACTGTTGCTAGCCTTTTTTTTTTTTTTTTTATCTTTTATTACAGATATGGCAACTTATACACAGAGAAGTTGAATAACCAACCCAAGGTCATACCTCTCAAGAACCCATGCATTTCAGCACTAAAGATTATGCTCTTAAATACCTATTATTTTTATAGTACCACTGCAGTGAAAGAATTATCATCAATAGAGCACCTATAGGCACTCCACTAAGTTGTTTTCTTTCTTTCTTCTTTTTTTTTCTTTTTTAATCCTTGTTCAAAGTGATCTATTAAATTCTTTACATGTATTATTTTATTTAATCCTTACAACCCTATGAAAATTAGAGTTATTATTTTCCTTCTGATAGAAGAGGATACTGTATAAGATGTTAAATTGTTCCTCATTGTCATTAGCCAAGATAGTGTCCGAGCCAGAGCCATTTAAAATCTCAGGTTGCCTGAGCTCAGCACTTCCAGAGTGTTTTCACGGTGCTACAGATCTGGCCCTATTAGGGTAAATGGCAAATATGCCATTACTTTTGTTTGCAGCTACAAATAAATTCTTTCATTGCATATTTCTTCAAAAAAATATATGGCAAAATCTATTTATAGCATAGTTTTGCAAATTTTATAACCCATCAGAGCTTTTTACATTTTTATTTTAAAAAAACCAGCATTCCATGTGTATTGTCTTATAATACACTGGAGAAATATTCTTTCTTTTAATGCAACTTTTAATAACTTTTTAAATGGAAAATTTCAAACATACATGAAAGACAAAATAATATAATGATCCCCACATACCCATCACCCATTTTCAACAATTACCAGTACATGGCCAATCTTATTTTGTCTATGTTGCCACTCACCTATTCCCACAACTCATGCAAACACTTGATTATTTTTAAGCATATCCTTGATGTCATATTATTTTATCTGCAGAAATTCAGTAGAATTCTCCACTGCAGTGTTGAAAACAATACAAAGACTTATTTTATTTTATTTTATTTTATTATTTTTTTGAGATAGAGTCTTGCTCTGTCACCCCAGATAGAGTGCAGTGGCGTCATCATAGCTCACTGCAACCTCAATCTCCTGGGCTTCCAAGGCGATCCTCTTGCTTCAGCCTCCCAAGTAGCTGGAACTATAGGTGAGTGCCACCACACCTGGGTAATTTTTTTTTTCTTTTTTTTTCTTTTTTTTTCTATTTTTTTGGTAGAGACGGGATCTCATTCTTGCTAAGGCTGGTCTTGAACTCCTGACCTCAGGCAAGCAATCCTCCCGCCTTGGCCCCCTAGAGTGCTAGAATTATAGGCACTCAGCCTAAAAACTCATTTGACTTAACTAGTTTTGTGGTATGAGCGGATTCAAAATCCTAAAATTTTAAGAAATTGGGATATTGCAGGCCATTTAAGCTATTGTCAAACACCTTAAACTGTTATGCTCCCTCTAGTCAAAGATCATGGCTTTATCCATCTTCTCTTAGATCTTACTAGCTTTATGTTTAATTTAATGTTATTCACTTGAGTGATTAAGTCATTTTAGGAAAAAAGATAATTTGAGAGAGGAAATACATGGCCAGTATTTGAATAAGTTCTACTTCTTTGGCTTTCGGTGTTTTATCTGATTTTGTTTCTTTTTTCTCTAACTTTGTTTCTTTGGCTTTTTAACAGTGGATTTACCTTTTTCCAGATATGTATATGAATTTTTTCCCACTAGGTGTATTCATTTCATCAACAGATTTGCATTACCTGAAATTAATCAGCACATCCTTTTTGCGTTTTTACTATGTGCAAGGCACTGGTTGGTACTAAGCTTTAAGAAAGCATGGAGATTTTGCCAGGCACAGTGGCTCACACCTGTAATCCTAGCACTCTGGGAGGCTGAGGCAGGAGGATCACTTGATGCCAGGAGTTCAAGAAAGCATGGAGATTTTAAAAGATGTCATCAGATCTTTACAGAATTCACAATATGCAAACTATCTACTTAATGAAATACATACAAAAACATATTTTTATTAGATGAATTTCAGTTAAGGTAGTCTTATTTGCTTTCTGACTTCAGTATAAATTGGTGAGCAATGATATGTTCTACTTAAAAGATCACTCATATTCTTAACTTCCTGGCTCTCACTCTTTTTTGAAGAAATTGTTATTCTGTCATCTTAAAACCCAGATATAATGATGATGATGATAATGTTCTAGTGTTAGACAAGTCAGTAGGGCTTCATCATTATCTGTCTTAGCTTCCCTTTCCAAATCATCTTTCACTATTCTTCTTCATATGCCCTATGTCCAAGAAAAAGGTAGCACTTGTTCTTGTCCTTAAGTCCTTTCACTTTCCTATCCCCATGCCTTTGCGCATGCTTTACCTGTTGGCCGAAAGATAAGTAACTATTTCTGCGTGTCTAAATCCCATCTTTCACAGTCCAATTTAAATATCAACTTTTTCATGTAGACTGGCCAAGAACATCGTACACATTAAGCGTTAATGTGTTTATTTATAAGAATATGCTACTGTCTTTATATTTCAAACAACTTAAAAATGAAAATATAGCTGTGCATTCCAATATCATATGATATTGGCTGCCACGCATATTGAAAAATGTTACATAATACTAAAATGAGAATCTGTAGCATAGAAAACTAAATCTTAAATTATTTTGTTAGAAGTAGATGATTATTTCAGTGTCTTTTGCAATGATGTTCCATAGGCAAGGGCTTTTTATTTTTATTTATTTCACAGTGTATATATATTTATATTATTATATAATATTATATATTATATTATTCCATGGTGTGTATGTGTGTGTGTGTATGTATCAATCACATTGTCTTTATCCAAACATCCATTGATGGACACATAGGTTGATTCCATATCACTGCAGTTGTGAATAGTGCTGCAACAAACATGAGTGCAAGTACCTTTTTGATGTAATGATTTGTTTTGTTTTGGGTAGATACCCCGTGGTAGGATTGCTGGATCAAATGGGAATTCTATTTTTAGTTCTTTGAGAAAGCTCTACTGTTTTCCATAAAGGTTTTACTAGTTTACATTCTCACCAACAGTTTATAAGCATTCCCTTTTCTCCACATCCTTGCCAACATCTGTTATTCTTTGTCTTTTTAGTAATAGCTGTTCTAACTGGTGTAAGATGATATTTCATTGTGGTTTTAATTTGGGTTTTCCTGACGATTACTGATGTTGAGCCTTGTTTCATATGCTTGTTGGCCATTTGTATATCTTTTAAAAAATGTCTGTTCATGTCTTTAGCCCACTTTTTAATGAGATTATTTTGTTGTTGTTGAGTTGTTTGAGCTCCTTGTATATTTTGGATATTAGTCCATTGTCAGATGCACAGTTTGCAAATATTTTCTCCCATTCTACAGGATGTCTTGTCACTCTTGTTTATTATTTCTTTTGCTGTGCAGTAGCTTTGTAGTTTGAGTCCCATTTGTCTATTTTTGTTTTTGTTGTGTTTGCTTTGACATTTTTTAGTCATGAATTCTCTTTGCCTAGACCAACGTCCAAAAGAGTTTTGCTTAGGTTTTCTTCTAGTATTTTTATAGTTACGGGTCTTACATTCAAGTCTTTAATCCATCTTGAGTTAATTTTTGTATCTGGTGGGAAATAGGGGTCCAGTTTCATTCTTCTGCATATAGCAATCCAGTTTTCCCATCACCATTTATTATATAGGGTGTCCTTTCCCCAGTGTATATTCTTGGCAACTTTGTCAGGTCGTGTAGCTTTATCATCTGTTCTATTGATCCATATCTCTATTATTATACCAGTACCATGCTGTTTTGGTTAGTGTAGTCTTGTAGTATATAATTTGAAGTCAGGTAATATGATGCCTCCAGCTTTGTTCTTTTCGCTTAGGATTGCTTTGGCTATTTGGGCTCTTTCTTGGTTCCATGTGAATTTTAGGATTGCTCTTTTCTAAATCTGAAAAATGACATCAGTATTTTGATAGGAATTGCATTGAATCTGCAGATTGCTTTGGGCAGTATGGTCATTTTTAACAACATCGATTTTTCTCATCCATTGGATGGGATGTTTTCCATTTGTTTGTGTCACTACAGTTTCTTTCCTCAGTGTTTTGTAGTTTTCCTTGTAGAGATCCTTCACCTCCTTGGTTAAATATATTTGGGGTGGGGGGTGTCTGTGGGTTTTTTTTTTTTTGTAGCTGTTATTAATGGGATTGACTTCTTGATTTGGTTCTCAGCTTGATTATTATTGGCATGTAGAAATAATACTGATTTTTGTATCCTGAAACTTTGCTTAATTCATTTATCAAATATAGGAGTCTTGTGGAGAAGTCTTTAGGGCTTTCTAGATATAAGATCGTATTGTCAGCAAACAGAGCTAATTTGACTTCTTTTTTCTAATTTGGATGCCTTTTATTTCTCTTCTCTGGCTAGGACTTCCAGTTCTATATTGAATAGGTATGGTGAAAGTGGGCATCCTTGTGTTGTTCTAGTTCTTAGAGGGAATGCTTTTTAACTTTTCCTTGTTCAGTATGATGTTGGCTGTGGGTTTGTCATATATGTCTTTTGTTACCTTGAGGTATATTCCTTCTATGCCTAGTTTGTTGAGGGTTTTTATCATGAAGGTTGCTGAATTTTATCAAATGCTTTTTCTGGATCTATTGAGATGTTCATATCATTTTTGTTTTTAATTCTGTTTATGTGGTGAATCACATTTATTGATTTGCATATGTTGAACCATCCCAAAACTCAATATTTTAGGTCTAGGAATTATAGTAGGTATAAGCTTAGTACCATTGTTTGGGGCATATTGGTTACAAATCACCAACTAGAGCTTGCCAGTTTGGCTATGATATTTGGTACTTCCCAGAATTCTTGAAGTAAAATGATATCTCTCTGCATGATCTCCCAGTTCTCTTAGTTCTAGCATTCTAAAATAGTTCTTTCTTGGATCATTATAAGTCATTGTGACTCTTCTTTTTTCAGGAGCCCCCACGCCCTGTGCACCCAGCACCCTTACCAGAAGCCCCACAGCCACAGCGTCTGCCCCCAGAAGCTGCCAGCACATCTCTGCCTCAGAAGCCACACTTGAAGTTAGCACGAGTTCAGAGTCAGAATGGCATAGTACTGTCATGGAGTGTCCTGGAGGTGGATCGAAGCTGTGCCACTGTTGATAGCTACCATCTCTATGCTTACCATGAGGAACCCAGTGCCACTGTGCCCTCACAATGGAAAAAGATTGGGGAGGTAAAGGCACTTCCCTTGCCTATGGCATGTACTCTCACCCAGTTTGTATCAGGCAGCAAATACTATTTTGCAGTACGAGCCAAGGATGTTTATGGACGTTTTGGACCTTTCTGTGATCCTCAGTCAACAGATGTGATCTCTTCTTCCCAGAGCAGTTAAACCTTGGAGCCTTTATCTCTTCCTCTTTTAAAAGTTCCACTTTTGATCTTGTTTTTAATCTTGTGCATGATATCCAATGTAAAATCCACATTGTGCAAGATTTCTTGGACAGATGTGTGTATACACTACATTTGTTTATAACCAGAAGTAAAATAAACTCAGCCCACAAAGCAAGAATCTTTTCCTGGACAATTTAAACTTCAGGGTTTTGAAATGTAAATGTGTACCTTGCTTTAGTTTTGAGGCTGGGGAATATGTGTGCGTGTTTGTGTGTTTTTTCCCTATTTATGTGTTATTGCATTGGAATCTCCCATTTTTATTCTCAAAATTTCTCTCTCTTTCAGTATGAAGTAAGTATATCAAAAGATCTGGGATATGTAACTGGCATGATTCTGCTTCTAAGGGATCTATAAGATCATAGTTAAGTGATTTAAACTGAACCTAAACAAAACCCAAAGAAATAAATAAAAAGCAAAATGGCTAAATAGTTTAAAATAGGTTAATTGGAACACAGGAAAGGATCTATTCATCTTTTCTTTTGTCTCTTCTCCTGGATTGTTAATTAGGTGAAAAAAGATCTGCAATGGCCCCTCCCTTTTCTAATCTGGCTTATACTTTTATTTTGTGCCTTAAAAATTAACTGCAAAAATAAACATGGCCATATGTTCATCATTGTTTACTCTTCCCTTTCAGCCTTTCACTCTTTATTTCTCCTTCATCTCTACCATAGCACAGCCCCAAATAATTTTTAAACCAAGGCATGCATATATTCATACATACATATATACATACATATATATATTTTATATATATATATATATTTATTCTCACCTGTGGCATCACTATATTTAACTCCAAAAATTTGACTTGCTATTTTCTTCTAAGAATAGATGCTTTTATTTTTGGTCACTATTTAACTCTGTGTAAAGTGGACCAAGAGAAAACCATATTGTGTAAGAAAATTTTCCATCAGACCTGTTTTAGTATCCATGTTGCACACCATGTTAGAGATTTTGAAAGCAATTCTAGTTCATTTTACCACCCAAATCTATCACTCAATACGAGTGAATTCCTTACTATTCTTTCAAAGGAAGTAAATAATAAAATTCACAAAATAGAGTGAGCTAAAATATCAAGAGGAAAGCTTCATTTCCTCTCTACTCTCATATCATCCTTCCTGTTTTAACCTTTTAACTTTGTTTTTGATGGTGCCAAGTTGAGTCTGATTTTCCCTTTGTCAGCTTTAGATAGAATTTAAAGTGTATCCTTTCAAGTCATTTTAGGTAACAATCAGATATAACCGCCTGTGTATCTCCGTTTCTCTTCAAAGTTAATGAAATTCAGCTTAGGTCATGGATTTTCAACGTGAGCGCCAACCATACTGGTGTCAGGTAGGTGTTTTGAGTGTAGATAGTTTAGGACTGGAGGGCTGGGCTCTTTTAGGAATAAGGATGTGGTTGAGAATATTTTGAAAGAAATTCATAAAATAACTTTCTAGTTATCTTCTCTTATAATATTTGAATTCATATTTTTACCTTCTGAAAATAAATTCATCATTCATTTTCCTGGAATTGCAGGAGGGAGCTATCCCTTTTGTTAATGCTGTTTTGTTTGCAACTTTGATGGCTTGTAATAGGAAGTATTCTAGCTATAAAGAAACTCTCTTTAGAGACTTTTTCACTGGTCAGTATACTGTCCTCGCAGGTATGAGGTTTGACTGATGATGGAGAAAGCCTACAGATTGCCAAAAAGTAAATGCTCCAAACCTTCCTTTCACTTTCACAAAATGAGACCATAGTGAGAATTAGAGTTTTCCATGAATGAAATTTTCCAATCAACTATGTCAATATTACTCATTTTAGGACTAATGATTAATGGTAAAGAAGTTGCCAACGTCACAACAGTGAACATTTTGAAAGGAAGAAATTGATGATCTTCTCAATGTATATGAACACCTATCTATATCTGCATGTATATATGTTTTTACGTGCAGTGGTTCAATGTTGTTATGTATTCGAGGTCATTCCTGTCTACAGAATTGAAGCCCCATGTTCAAATAATTCTTTATTCATCATTTTTATGGTAACAATTTGCTTAAGTAGCCTACAAAAGGTTCTTTTGATAAACATCTTTATTTGTATTTACTAAAAAAACTTTCATAGCATTATATAATCATGTGAAGAAAGCCCACTATAATGGAAACATTTCATTCTTTTAGCCTATATTGTGTTTTTTGTTAAAGGAAAAAAAAATGAATTCTCAAATAGTAACCCTAAAAATAGATTCACTACGGTAAAATAATTACTTAAAATATTTTATTCCAGATGGTGGAAGGAAGGTACAAAGAGAGACTGTAATTATTCAAGGAAAAAGTATATTTATTATAACATGGTCTCCTCAAATTAGCCTGCCATAGGACTTAGGGGCAACAGCGATATTGGATTTACTGAAAGTGTTAGGTTAGAACACTAGACTTTTATTTGGGGCAGGTTTCAACGTTGATGAACGCTGACTTTTTATTTGGTTGTTTCTTTAGAGAGAATGGGGGACTCAACTAGAAATCGCTACTGATAACAGACTTTTTAGTAGCAGTTTACACTCCATGGTTACCTTTTTTAAAATTTCATGGTATCTTTTCACAAAGTATTAAAAATAAGCTTCATTATCCCATTTTGGGAATGCACGTTTGCTACATTTTTAGCCTGACAATACTAAGGTATTGCCTTATTCGAAATCCTGGAAACCTCTGATATTTCAGCCTGAAAAGTAGAATGTTTATATGGCATTTAATGGTAATGGTGATGTCTGTTACTTTGCACTTTGTCAGAGTAGTTTTCACCCTGTTTTAAGTGTGAGTAAGCCTCTTTTTAAAATTATGTTCTTGCCGGTAAATTTATGAGTTGCGTACAAAGACATCTGTTGTTAACAGTTAACTTTTTGAGGTAACTATATCCCTCGATTTCTCTGGACTCACTTTTTAAAATATGCAGAATACTGTGTACTGTTTAACATAGTATATAAGTTTATGAGAGAAGTGGAGAATTTTCTTCCTAGAAAAGTGAAAATTTATTGAGATACCGTTTGCCTCACAGAGAGGTGTTCCTTACTCTCCCCATCCCCATTGCCAGATAATGTATCTTGAAAAAAATGACCTAAAGCAAAGAGCTTAGAATCTTGGATGCATCTGTCTGAAGAACTCCCTAGGCAGGCTGCACCTTACAGTTCTCTTACTGCATTGGGTAAGTGTTAACTTAGTTTTCGTTATTTTGCTTTACATATTCTCCAAATTATCATTTATGCAGCAAGGTTAGTGTTAATATTGCATGGTAACATTTAATTTGTTCCATGAGTTTTCCAGTACTGTACAAGATCAACAAAGTAATGCCTGTGGTATCCTCATTTCTCATTTTTATACACTGTGATCTTAGCACAGTAGGGTACTGCAAAGACCTTCCAAGTGTTCTCCCTGACTTTCCTTCTTGGGCCATTTCAGTATCCTCAGTATCCTATGATTTTTTTTTATGTGTTATTTTATCACTGTCCTGTGGTTGGCCCGTTTTATTCTAATTTCTGGAAAAACCATGTCCCAGTATTAGAATACTGCAAATAACTATCTAAAACCAATGTACGATTCCACCTTCCTTACTATTTACTGGGTACATGCCTTTTTTTCCTCTTTTAGTTTTGGGAGACACACACACACAAATCAGAGCAATTCTCATGAGGAGTTTGTTAGTGTGGCAGACTTACCCAATTCCTGAAACTCATTCATCCCCTTGAGCCAGCCAATGGGGAGGAATAAAATAATCCAAACACATTTTGTCTTCTCATCTTCAAATAATTTTATCATGTTAAAATAAGCTTTCCTTTTTTTATTTGTAGAATCAACGAAGTACTCGTCATTTATATTTAAATGCTGTCTTTTGCGGGGGGGCAAATAAGGTAACTGGGCAATCAAACACCTTTTGGGGATCCTGGCTTTAGTATTTTATTAGCCATTTCAAATTAAATATAAAAATAAATCCTTTGTAAGAAACTCGCACCCTGATTTTTGTTTATTGCAGATGAAAGTGTAAATAGTAAGGCAATGTAAGACCTTCCTAATGTCTAATATAAACTGGGCTTTAGTAGTTGCCCTATTTTTATTAGGTTTTGAAGGTTTTTGTGGGTTTTTTTTTCTTTCTTTTTAAATGTACAGTAGAGTGGTATCTGTATAAGTGTTAACTGTAGTGGGGTTTTGTCCAGCAAGCCTGAAATTTATACTTTGAAATAAAACTACTGGATTTTTAACATTCTGAGTACTCTGATTCATTCTGATAATTCACAGCCCTTGTGTTTTTTCTTTCAAAAGTCTCCCACCTTGTGTAGAATCACCCATTATATACCGTACAATTTGGCTTCTTTAACCTGCTCAGCAATTCCGTGGCACTCAAACCACATATAACTCTCCAGCTATGAAAGCAAGTTGCTGTGCAGAGTTGTTGCTAGATTGGATGGGTGCTTTTAACTAATGGGAGACAACAGCGAGGTTGACTGTATCGTATGCACCACAGAAAGACTCAGCTGATGAGAGATTCCTTTGGAAACAGCTCCACAGTCCCCCAGGGTTTTGTCATTAAGTATATCTGGCTAGAGGAAGGGGGAAGAGCATGGGGGGAGTACAGGTTCTTAGGGCCAAGCCTGGAAGTGGCACCCATCCAGGTTCTGTGGCTAGGGCTGTCACGTGGCACAACTACCTAAGGGACCCTGAGAGATGTGGTCTGTGTGGGCAAGCATAAAAGGAGAATATAGATTTTGGTGAATAAAGGAGCAGTTTCCGCCACATCCTCTTGTATATTAGCTTGTATGCTAAAGCCTAGTACTGTTATTTATCACACACAATGTTTCTTCTGCAGTGCTCCACCTTGTAGCGAATGCTTGCTGTTAAAATCAGTGGAAAATGAAAGTGACAGATGAATTTACTGTATTTTATTAAGAGTAATTCTGACAGAAAAAACATAGCTAAAATAGTACCTTTGGTTTCCTATTTGCAGCCTTTTATTCCCTTCTATTCCCTCATCTCCCTCCTTCATTTTATGTCAAGTTTCAGAATTGGTTTCATGGTAATAAAATCAAAGTCGTAAGCCTCTGGCATGCCCTGATGGAGAGTTTTGTTGAAACGGTTCCAGTGGAAAACAGGGAGGCCGCCTTGTACTGTGGGGCCACTGATGGCATAGGCTGTGTACTGCGATGCTAGGTAGATATCCGCCACCTGGGAAAAGAGAGGCGAGGGGACATTTTAGAAAGTCATTTGGAAAAAAAATCTCGACTAAATCCATGACTTTCTCCCCCCTTTTCTTTCCAAAGTCACAATATTGGCCCCTTTAAAAAATTTTCTTGCAAACTTCCACGTCTTTACATGATACACTCTTCTGTATCCATGTGGCATTTAAGTGTGAATTGACCAGTAGAAGTGTGTCAAATGAACACTGTAGCCAAAAATGAAATCTTTATTCAGATTACTCATTCAGAATTTTAGCTCCAAAACTTGTTTAAAAATCACTTAACCCTTCTGTGACTCAGTTTTCTCATTTGTAAAGTGGGCTCCATAGAGTTGTCATGAGGATTAATGCAAGCAATGCTCAGAGCAGTGCCTAGAGTATATTAAGTCCCAAAGAAAAGTTGTTATTAAACAGGGCAGTAACAAGAGTTTTAAAGTAGAAGGAGCTCACTATCAAAAAATGAGGGCCATGGTTCTCAAAAACACCTAACAACTGAGTAGCAGCAGGTCTTAGAGGAGAAAGAAAATCTCTGAGCTTCTGGTTTTTCCCATATTCAAAATGACTCTAAAGAGATAAATTATATTTTGAAAGTATATGCTTCAACAGAAACTTTTTTTGATGAAAAACAGCAGGTCACTGTCTCCAGCCATGAAATTTGGCAGAAGGAAGCTTGAGTTGGGTTCTCCCAGGCAAGGCAGCACAGGTGATTTTCTTTGTGTATTCTGGGATGGATATAACACTTCACACACTTTCCTGAATGTTTGAAAATATGAATACCATTTAAAAAAATACGAAGGCATACATTGGGGCTTCCTCTGTGCCGGATTCTCTACAGCCACTTTGTTTACATCTGCTGTTTAGGTATTAGGCTGATAGAAAATAGTGTGCAGGTGGGGCCGGCATTCCTACGATTCTGAGCTGAGAACAGAACAGTTCACTCCTTACAGGCATCTTCCAGAATTTAGGACAGGCAATGCAAAAGAAAAGACATATGCCTGCCCCAAAATTGCAAAAGGATGTGATTCTTTCCACCAACCAAATGGCTAACTCATACCCTCAGACATCCCAAATCCAGCAGTGTGCAGATAAATTTTTAACAACCAGCTCCCTGAATAAAAATTAAAAAAGGCCCTGATGTGCGGTATTTGCCAATTTCCATGGTGTGAATACTCCCACCATGGCTGATTTCAAGCTATCAACATGGTATCAACTGACTCACAATTAGTTCTCACGCCTACCGGAGCCAGCTTCAGCAAACCACTGCAAGCCGACTTATTACCTGTTGTTATGAGATCTATGACGGCACTTATCAATTCTAACATGGTGAAAAACACTTGTTCAGCTAATTCAATTCATGTTTAACATGAAAGTACACTGCTACTACTAATATGTTCTTTGGACATTCGGTCAGTCTGGTAAAACTTAACAATATTATCGTCATCATTGTCATCATGACTGTGTATATTTACAAATAATTCACTAAGTACTGTTCTAAACTTTTTACAGATTTAAAGGTTTAGTCTTTACAAAACCCTATGAGGTATGCATTTCCACTTTACAGATGAGGAAACAAAAACACTACAAAATTATGTGATTTGCTATTAAGTAGCAGAGCAGGGACTTGAAGTTAGGCAGTGGGACCTACTGCCAGAATCTCTGAAAAAGCTGATTGCTGAACTGAGTTTATGGTTAGAGGCATCATTGTGCTTAATGCCACAAAAACCTCTGCAGCTTTGCCTTTGAGGAAGCCTACATGCTGGTGGAAATTCAATTCAAAAGCCAGCAGTATGTTACCTTCGTGTCGTAGCAACCTCCGGGACTTGGGTTAGGTGAGTTCAGGTCCTCACGGCAGCAGATGGTATTGCAGGGATCACCCTTACTATAAGGATCCTTCTTATAATCTAGGGAACAAAGAGTGATGGGGAAAAGAATGATTATTGGCTATTCTGAGACACACGCATCCCCAGGAAGGCTTTCGGACTCGTTAAAGCCCAGATAATCACAGTCCCCCCCACCAGCCTCCTGAGCCCGGCCTGCTTCCAGGTGCAGACGTCTCCCTTGGCTTGTTAGGAAGGAGCATCTGCAAGTCCTCTGCCCCAGCCTGCCCTCGGGAGCCTTGCACAGTGAAGGGTGGATGGAACAGAGATAACAGAAGATCAACGTGCATCGATTTTTTCCAATAAAAGAAATTCAAATTTGACTTTGATACTGTTCATCAAAAATAAAGTATTTATGAATATTTTCTGTTTTATTTGCTGTCTTTATCCTTGGAAGGAAACTTGTGTAAGAGAAGGAGGGGGAGGATCCTGCCTAGGTCATTTCTGTGTTTTACATATAATTTTTTCAATTAAAAAAATCTGTAGACTTTTCTCTGTCGTTTTATAAAGGAGGCCAAAATTCTACTTGTTGAGTATAAAATATCTATATAGTTGAATGCTAAATACTTAATTCAGGTAACTTCCTATAATTCCTTCTAGTACAGAGATGATAAACTTACATGGATTCTTTATCCATGGGGAAGAAAGGGAGTTTTGAAGAATGATTCTCGAGAAATGTGCTACGTACTGTTGTATCTCATGATATATTTCATGGATGCCATATTGGTCACTTTCCCTTGGTCACGCCGGAAGATTTTGGCTCTTGGAGCTAAATCATAAGAGTAGTCCAAACCCAACTTCTGAACTAGCAAGGGATAGCCACTCCAGTTGTAGATTTTTTCATGGAAAGGAATGTTGTAGGAGGGCCAATATCCTGATTTGGAATGGAAGGCAAGAAGGAGGGAGACAGATAAAGGGGGAACAAAAGAAAGAAGTTATTAGTGATGGTTTATTTTAAAAATTGGCACAGGTGTTTAATTACAAAATGATTGTCTAGAAAATAAAGCTTTGAATGTGAACCCTGGCAGCCAAACTGAGCCTTTTCAATTTCCCGAATTGGTATACTTTTAGATTATTTCATTAGAGGAAGAAGAGCATTAGAATTCTTTGCTTTTTACCAAAAATTCTTAAAACATTCTATAAATCAGAAAATAGCCTCATTTTCTATACAGCAAAATAAAGTATGATGCAAAGTGGTCTGGGGACCTCTTCTAAGTGGATTTGGTTATGGAAATGCCAAAAGATGGTTCACAATGTGGCCCCAAAAAAAAAGATGCCACATACTAATCACGGGATAGTGGAAGAACACAGCATTGGGAATCAGAAGTCCTAACTTCTAGGCTCAGGGCCGAATAGCTAGGTTTTAGGCAGTTAACCTCATGTTCCCCTTTTGGGGGAGGAGTCAAAGGTAGGAGGAGTCCATAGTGTGAGAGGGTCGAGGAGGATCTTTACATTTCTAGCCGGCTTTTAACTGCTTTGACTCTAAGCATTTATGAAGGCTCTGCTTCATTGACAGCTTCGCAGTGTTCTAAGGCTACCCAGCCCACTAGCCACTAAGCACCAAGCATGAGACACAGCTCTAGTATAAGCAGCATTCCAGAAATATCCTAGATTACACTGGAAGGGCTTATTGCCTACAGGACAGTCAACATAGGATGTCTCCACCATTCAGTGATTTCCCACCTCCATACTCTTCTCCTGGCCTTTGTCTGCCTTTCTCCCTTCTACTGGGCTCCTCCGATGCAGGGATGAGGTTATTGAGGAAAAAAAGCAAATGACAAGACATTCTACCTTGCTAGTTTTGGGACAAAGAGCCAGTATAAGGAAGAATTGAGATCAGAATGGCATTGAAATTATGGTGTTAAAATCAGATTTGTTGCTAAAACACACCTAGGTTATATAGATGTCAAAAATACAAATTAGTGGTTGTGAACCTACACCAGGACTGTTCTGTTTTACAGATGAAGAAAGTGAGGCTTGGAGAGATTGGATAATTTGCCTGAGATTTTAAGGAGCTGAGATTTGAATCAAGGCAGGGAAACTCCTGGCTTCCAATGTCTGGGCTCTGTTCTTGCCCTCCAGAACGGCTCTCTTCAATCCCGCCCACGAGCCAACGCTGCTATCTTAGTGTCACCAGTGGGCTGGGTCCGCCAGACCTTACTACGGCTCTGCCCATCCTGGGTTCTCACGGCGGCTTTGCGTGCTCTGCCTCCCTTCTAGACTACTGAGTGCCTCGACCTCGACGGCAGGGATTTTGTATCCTCACTTTCCCGGTCCCTAGGCCAGAGTAGCAGTCCATAAATATTAACTGTATTGAACTTAAAGCTTTAATCAGGGACACAGGAGAGAAGGTAATATTAGAGCCATGAGAAATCACAGGGTCGCGAATGCCTGACTTGCGTCCCAATTTGCACATTGTCTCATGAGAGTCTGTGGTGTAGGTGTAATGCTATACTAAACCTGGTACTTCGCTCCCAGGGTAGCTAGCAGTGGCTTCCCTACCCTTTCTGCCCGCCCCCCCCACATACCCCCGGTCACACGTCCACACAGCACGCAGTCCCCCACCAGGTGCTCACACACGCGCATCAGTCCTCCCGACTTACAACATGAAGAAAGTACCTTTCCGTAGAACATCCGTTTGTTCAGAATATTCTACGTATGCGGGAATTTGCTCCACAATGTACAGAGTGCCTTTGCCAAGGCTGTGGTTCAGCTTTACCCTCTTCAGGTCCAGGACCATGTACTGATTGTTGTAGGTGCCTGAAATACCAGGAGACAGGCAGGCAAGACGCGGCTGTAGCTTCACTGGGTAACTAGTCTAAATCTAAACACGTGTCCATGCCTAAAGGTTAGTTATTCTACAGGGCCACTTACCAGAGTTGTATTTTGAGAAGATCTCTGCCCAGCTCTTGCCATTATCTGCCATCATATTGGCCACACGGACCCTCTGCCAGGCCAGAAGAGTCTCGGGTCTCACCTCCTTTAGTAGCGTTTTATTGTACACGCTGTTCGTAGTCTGCAGCAGTATCAGACCACTGCTGAGAATGTAGAAGTCATCCAGAGACTCCAGAAACCCTACAGGAAAGAAAAATATACACAACAGCAAACGTATGCCTGGAATATTGAACCACCATTTTCAGCACAGAGCTTTACACACACAATGCGTTTCGCAGAGGGTATGTGTGGTCACCATCCTTGATCCGCAGTCGCCTTTCCCCGCTGTGGCTAACCTCTAAGGCAGTTACCCGAGTGTTAAGTGTCGCTTATGCATGTGCCAGTAGACCTCCACACTTGAATTCTCCGTTGAAAATTTTTGATTTTATGATTTGGGACGACAAATATATATGAAATCAGGAATATTCCGAGTTTCCAGAACGATAAACAGAAATAGATCCCCACTTGCTAGGATTTTGCAGAACTTTTAATTAGCATGTATTTTTCAAATTTTATATGAGTCTACATAATTTTTATAAGTGGAAAAAACATCTACATTTATAAAAAGCAAACATGGTTTTGAAACTAGGACATCGATACTCTGGGTCAATGTTTTTTATAAATGTTGCAGGCAACACAGGAAAATCAATGAAGCCATAGTTTCCTGAAGGCCTGTTTTGTGGTTTATATTGGGATGATTATGCAAGGGATAGAATACCAGGCACAGCTGTAATAATAAGAGAGGGTATGTTGTTATCAGTAACCAACAGTAATGAGCAAACTGTCTGTGCTATACTAGTGTCAGAAAAGGGCCTCAGTGGGAGAGTTAGAAGGGACCAGAGTGATAAGTTCCTCTGGTGTATCCCATTAATTCCATTAATTCCATGAATGGGATTAATGCCTTTATAGAGGAAGCCTGAGGGCGCTGGCTAGCCCCTTCTACTATGTAAAATCACAACAAGAAGGCCTTTTTTTTAGAGAGACAGGATCTCACTCTGTCACCCAAGCTGTGCAATCACAGCTCACTGCAGCCTCAAATTCCTGGGCTCAAGCGACTCTCCTACCTCCTGAGTAGTTGGGACTATAGTGCATG